ACTCTTTCATTAGAAACAGAATTAGGAATATACAATTTGGCAACTGAAACCTATACCCCCATGCAATGGATGATGCTGTTTCAGAAACATTCGGTAAAATACTCATCTGCTGTTACTGACAGCTTTTAAAACAACAGCTTTCCCTGTCAGACGTAAAATCACAGATGAGTGGAAGACAGAACATCAGCCTCAAAATCAAAATAAGAGTCTGGCAAAACTAAAGAAAGCAACAAACCAGACTGAAGGCATTATAAGAAATTTAGTTCACAACTGGATTTCGCATTTGATAGTTTGTGAACAGGCTTTATACTATGATTTCTTTTTAAAGGGATTACTGTCTGTACCCTGGCACATAACTGGCAAAAAGTCGACCAGACTTGCATTTTGGGGAAATCCTAGAAAATGAGAAAGGACAAGTCCATCTGCTATACAAGATCATTTGCTACAGCATCATTTTCCATGGCTTGTCCAATCCACTTATGTGTCACAAGTAATATGGCTTACAGTAGGTTCTCTTATAAGACCATTTCACAGTTTACTAGCTTTTACCCTTAGGTTATTTTTTCTGATTGCCTGCCTATATTTGCCTTTCCTTGATTGTATTCAATTCCTCTCAATGATACGGCTTAAACAGCTCTTCTCTGTCTAATGTTTACACACTTCAAATACATGTATCCCCACCTAATTTAACCAAACTTTACATATTTATTTGTTTAAGTTGTTATAAATCAGTTCAGGAATTCCAAAAGGAAAGAGCTCTTGACGTGTACAGAGTTCTCAAATACACTCATATTTACAGTAATCCACGTAACAAGCTGCTAGCTATCTTAAATTAAAAACGAAAGCAACAAAACAAAATGGCCCAGAACTGTTGGAGTATTTTCGGCTCTCCTAGTGCAGTTATGCCACCCAGTGGCAGAATGCATAATACAACCCTGTCTTTCCATCTAAACTTACTGAGAAACTGCAAACCATATCAAGCCTTCACTTTAGAAGGGGTAACATTCTCTCTTTATATGCAGCCCCTTGAAAAAAAAACTATGCAGAAGGGTACTCTGCAATGTGGGGGAAGAAAAATAGCCTACAATCTAGAGTGGGACAGCTCTGCAGCTAAAGGTCTACCTGTAGAAATCTATTCCTAGCACACCCCACAACGTGTAAAATAAAAACAGTGGATGTGATGTGCATCATCATGGCTCTGCCAGCCAAGCCCTTCTCCGGCAATGCAAAGAACCCCTGTGAAGAACAACTCTGAAGAGCATGCATTTCCTGCAGGGGCTCCCAGCAGTCCCCTCCCATAGGACCTGCACTGGTTCCACTGAAGCCAATAATTTTCGTACTTGTGAGAGGACAATGGTGCATTTTGTCTACAGCTTGTAAAAAGATCAAGTAGGAATTAATGCATTTGCCAGGATTAAGAGAATGTAAATGTTAATTCTACTAATCTGGATATACATACGTTCCTTGTCCTTTTCAACAAGGGAAGTAGGTGGTGCGATGGCAGCTCCGCCCATACCTGCAAACAAAATTAGCAGTCGCATGAATGTAGATGTACATTCATGCAGATGATGCGTTTTGTCAGGCAGGATAATAAATCTCATCAATGCAGTGACTGAAGCTCATACATACGTACCTGCAGGACCCCTACAAGTCCTCAGTGCTCACATTTTTTTCTCTCATTGTTAATAAAAGAATAAGCTCCAAAGCAAAAATAAAAACAAACTGACTGGAAATCTGAGTGCAGATAATTGGTATCTGTCATTAACAAAACCATCAATTAATTATGCAATAAAGTTGCCTTAAACTGGTGTCCTAACTTTATTAAAATCTATATTTACTCTAAGGTTAATTGGCAATAATGAAGCTGACAAAACACTTTTTTTCCCCAAAAAAATTCAGACAGGGATAGGAAAAATAAGAGCTTTAAAGCTATGAAATCCTTAACGGCAAAGTAGTTCTAAACATAAAATGCATAAATTATCAATTTGTTGCACATACGTCTGGATTATCCACTGTAAATTCGCTACCGTAATTCAGAACAGCTGAGGTTTAATTTGCTACTTTGTCGACACACATCTAACCACGGATACATATTTTACAATTTAGATCCCAAAGGTTTAAGAAGTAAAAGTGATCGTTACAGTCGTTAAGCTTAATCTTAAAAATGAGCCCTTACAATGATCTCATTTCTCCTCTTCACTGGAATTTACATTTAGAAATCTACAAACTAGTGTAAAAAGGGTGTTTCACAGGTACTTAGGTTGTAGTTTCCCCCCTCCCCCTGTGAAGAAAAGAAAAGAAGCTTTATTACTAAAGCAGCCGCTTCATAAAAGTGACCAATGTATTCTAGAGCTCCAAGGGGAACCGGACTTCTTGAATGCGGTAAAAGAAAGGCAGCTGGCACAAGAACACAGAGCTGGACTGCAAAGCCTTTGATTTACCCAAAGAAAAGAGTTTAGACAAATCCTTCTCCCTCTTACTTCTTTTCCTTCTCTCCCTTTCATAGTCTTCATCTTCATCAGAATCTGGATCTGGTCTTCTTGAAAACCCACTGGCTTCATGCCTGTCTTTACGTCTCCTAAAAATGAGAACAGGAATTACAATAAGTTGTTCTTTCCTTACATTTCAAAGACTTATTTGTTGAGTGAGTTATATCAGTTTTCTAATCTGCATCTATAACATCCCTATCATCAGCTAGAGCTACCTAAGGTATCTAAGGTAAGCAGCCTTTCATTCATTTTAACTTACTTTTACTTTTTCAATTTATCTTTTTTAAACATGATTCCTTCCTGGAAAAATCATTTTAAAACATCAGACAAGCCCACAAACAGAGCTTCATCCTTACACATGCTGAAATTAAGCCAATTAGAATGCATGAGAACGAGCACCCGCATTCGTATATCTGTGTGCAGCATCCACCCAAGCTTGGATAGTTACAGTGGAAGAAATACAGAAAGAAATTACAAAGGAGATAACCAAAGATGCTAGCTTGCCATCCTGCTTTATTAGCATCTCTGCTGAATGCCACATTATTGACCTTCTCCTGAATGGATTGGGATCATTAATTTATAATCAACTGAAACATTCATCATGTAAGCTCCAATTGACAACAGCCTGACAATTAGGATGAAAAAACTTTTGAAAATTTGTTTCAAAACCGAGTTATATAATTTACATAATACGCTGGACATACTTTTAAAAATAATATAAAATTATTCTGGGTTATAAAGTTATAGACAGCATTCTTTTAAAAAATAAAGGAAAGGTACCTATGCATCACATAGCTGTTCGCATAGTTCTAGAAATGTAAGACAGGGATTTGTATGGGATGGTCTGGATAGGGATGGTCTTGTAGCGGGTTGGATTAGATGACCTCCAGAGGTCCCTACGAGCCCTACTATCTATGAATCATAGAAAATTAGGGCTGGAAGGGCTCAAAGCAGGACCATCCCCAACTAGATCATCCCAGCCAAGGCCTTGTCTAGCCACATCTTAAAAACCTCCAAAGATGGAGATTTGAGAACCTCTCTGGGCAAACTTTTCCAGTGTTTTTATTACCCTCCTAGTAAGAAAATTCTTCCTAATATCTAACCTCAACTTCCCTTGCTGCAACTTGAGCCGATTGCTCCTTGTTCTGTCGTCTGCCACCACCGAGAACAGTCCAGCTCCATCCTCTTTGGAGCCCCTGTGCAGGGAGTTGAAGGCAGCTATTAAGTCCCCACTCAGTTTCCTCTTTTCTAAACTAATCAGCCCAGTTCCCTCAGCCTCTCTTCACAAGTCATGTGTCCCAGCCCCCGAACCATTTTCACTGCCCTCCACTGGACTCTCTCCAATTTGTCCAAATCCTTTCTGGAGTGGGGGGCCCAAACTGGAAACAGTACTCCAGATGTGGCCTCACCAGTGCTGAATACAGGGGAATAATCACTTCCCTTGATCTGCTGTCAATGCTTCTACTAATGCAGTCCAGTATGCCATTAGCCTTCTCAAATAGGACACACTATTGGTCATATCCACCTTATTATCAACTGTAACCCCCAGGTCCTTTTCTGCAGAACTGCTGCCCAGCCAGTCACCCCCAGCCTGCACCGGTGCATGGGACTGCTCTGTCCTAAGTGCAGGACTTTGCACTCGTCCTTGTTGAACTGCATGAGATTTCTTTGGTTCCAATTTTCCAATCTGTTGCAGTCGCTGTAATTCCTAGCCTTACCTTCCAGTGTACCTACTACTCTCCCCAGCTTGGTGTCATCTGCAAACCTGCTAAAGGTACACTCCCCTTCCCATCCTTAAAACATTTACAAATTATACAGCCTCAAAGGAAAAAGACTGTATTCTCAGCATAGGCACCAAAACTGTCCTATGAGGTACTAAGAATAATAGTTCTGCAGTTAAGCATCACCAAGAGACCCGACAAGCCAAAAATCAAGAGAATCATATATTTCAGAAACAGTATCTCCCAATATATTTTCTAGATCCCCCTGTACTCAAGTATATGATGCCCCAATAAAACGTATGCTTACTGCAGCTTTATATATTTTAATCTCACAGTGAAATCTTGATTAATCATTTTAAATGGTGGTGGACAGGTCATATTTGACCTGGGGGAAGTGGGCAGCGGAGTCCCCCAGGGCTCGGTCCTTGGGCCCGCGCTGTTCAATTTCTTTATCAGCGATTTGGACGATGGGGTAAAAAGCAACCTGTTTAAATTTGCTGATGATACCAAAATTTGGGGTGAGGTGGGCACACTAGTAGGGAGGGAAAGACTGCAGCAAGACCTGGATAGGTTGCAGGGGTGGGCTAACAAAAACAGGATGCATTTCAATACTGACAAGTGCAGGGTGCTGCACTTGGGCAGTAGTAACCACCAGCACACTTATAAACTGGGAAACTCCCTTCTTGAGAGCACGGAGGCAGAAAGGGATCTTGGAGTCATTATTGACTCCAACATGAACATGGGCCGACAGTGCGAGGTCACGGTCGGCAGGGCGAACCGGACCTTCTCATCTCTCCACATGGGCATCTCAATCATGGCCAAGGAGGTGATCCTCCCCCTCTATGCGACACCGGTCAGGCCACAGCTGGAGTACTGTGTTTCTGGGCACCCCACTTCAAGAGGGATGTGGACAGCACTGAGAGGATCCAGAGGAGGGCCACCCGCATGAGCCGGGGACAGCAGGGCAGACCCTACAATGAGAGGCTACGGGACCTGAACCTGTTCAGCCTTCACAAGAGAAGGCTGAGGGGGGACCTGGTGACCGTCTATAAACTCACTAGGGGGAACCAGAAGGGCTTGGGGGAGACCTTGTTTCCCCTAGGGCCCCCCGGGATAACAAGAAATAATGGCCACAAGTTGTTGGAGAGTAGGTTTAGATTAGACATCCGTAGGAACTACTTCACAGTCAGGGCGGCTAGGATCTGGAACCAACTTCCAAGGGAAGTGGTGCTGGCTCCTACCCTGGGGGTCTTTAAGAAGAGGCTTGATGCCTACCTGGCTGGGGTCACTTGAGCCCAGTTTTCCTCCGGCCCAGGCAGGGGGTCGGACTTGAAGATCTACAAGGTCCCTTCCAACCCTACTTCTATGAAATATGGATCGTTTGATATTTCAGATCTACCAGCTTATTATGTTTTTTCCCCTCTTTGAGTTCATATAAAATAAAGAGAAGCTACTATAAAATGATCAAGGTACATACTGCAAGTTAAAAAAAAGTAGAAGAAAGCAATAGTGAAACTCTGGTAATATTTATCCACATTCCTGTAACTATTCATGCCAATGAAAGACCAGGCAATCCTCTTTCACTACTACTGCAGCCAGAAGCGGAAGGATTCTAATTGATTAGAAAGGCTGTGGGAATTAGTCTATGTAGGAGTCTGGGTTATCCTTCCTGTCATTATTGGCTTTAGATGATTCACACCATAATAAATGGAGTCCATTATGTCCATTACGAACTGAATGCATTTTCAATAATTCATTAAAATGGTTGGCAATTATTTCCCCAACCAGCCCATAAAATTAATCTAACTTAAAATACACTAGTACAGAAATCAGAGCTGTTGAGTGAATGGACTCAGGAATATTTTCTTATGTTTCAAGGAGCCATGAATAAGAAATATTAACATGCAATTAATTTACTTTCACTAACTGGCTGGATATCAAAAATATTTCCCCTTAGGAATACAACTGAAAACCTTACTTTTCTCTTTCTTCAATCTCTTTTTGCCTCTCCAGCTCTCGCTGTCGTTGTCGTTCCTCCCTCTGGCGTTTTACTACCTTCTCATAATCATTGGGAAACATAGGATCGTATTCATCAGCCAAAGGAATCAACACGTCTCCTGCAGAAAAACCACTAGGTACAGGATCCTTCAGGGAAAAAAAAATAGTAGTTATCAACGAGACTGTTCAGCTAAGAGCTGCAAATAATATCAGAGAATCTAAGAAAAACAGGGCAGGAAAGAACCTCAGAGGTCATCCAGTCCAACTCTTTGCTCAAGGAGGGTCATCCAGTCCAACCCTTCACTCTGGCTAAATCAGACTAGTCTTTGTCTAACGTGCTCTTTTAAAAACTTCCCAGGATGCAGATTTCACAACTTCTTCAGGTAATCTGTTCACAGGCTTAACCATCCTTATTATTAGAAACTTCTTCCTATTATCCAACCTAAATTCTCCTTGCTATAATTTAAAACCGTTATCCCTTGTCCTGTCCCATGCACCACAGAACCTAGTTTATCCCTATCCTCTTAATCGCCATCCTTTAGGTTTTTGAAGAGTCATCAAATCCCTCCTCAATCTTCTCTTTTCCAAACTAAGGGCTTGGACAAACATTCAGTTTCTCCAGGAAGAGTCCCTGCTCCCTCTGAGGAAATCATGAGTGTATGCTAATTGTAATTTTTCTCCCAAAGTAAAAGTGGTCACTCCGGGGAAAAAAATAATTCGAGAACAACCTAAGTGGACTAGCTCCCGGAGAATCTCTCTCTGAAGACAAAACTCCTGTATGAGCAGCCACTGTGCTTTAAAACTTCTCTCTCCCCCTCCTATCTGGGGAGGGAGAGCATGTGTCAGTAGGGGTGAACCAAAAAAGATTTTTTGGGACGATACTGATGGCCGATTATTAATGAGACATATTGGCCAATACCGCTCCAATAGCTGGTATGTGGCCTGGCAGCTTGGAGAACAGCATCAGGCTGGTAAGTCTGTGGGGGGGGGGGGGAGGAGTGACTCACCTGGAGGATGCAGGGCAGGGGCCTCCCCTCGCTGCATGCACCCCTGGGGAAGACATGGGAGGCGTATGCCCCCCAGATCTGTGTGCAGGGCAAGGGTGGGCTGCGCGCTGCATGCATGGGGCCACAGGCTGTGCCAGGTCCTTTCAGGCAGGGGAGGGACTGGGCCAAGACTAGGTTCAGAGCAGGCAGTGGCAGCACTGGGAGGGAGGCTATGGCAAATTTTGGGGTGACTATAGCCCACTCCATAGCCCCTCCTCCCAGTGCTGCCAGTGTCCACCCTGCCTGCCCCAAGCGTAGCCCCAGCCCAGTCCCCCAACCTGGAAGAGCCCAGCACCAGCCACAAGTGCGCAACTGGCCCTTGCCCTGCACGCAGATCTGGGGGGGGCACACGTCCCCCATGGCTCCCTCAGGGATGCATGCAGTGGCAAAAGCTGCCTCCCTGCATCCCCAGATGAGCCGCAGCTCCACTCTGCCCTACCCCAGCTGTGCAGCCCCTGCCTCCGCCCCAGTCACACTCCTTCCTTCACCGTGGGGACCTCAATCTGCACCCCCCCCCCAAAACGCCCCTTCCCTCCGCCCCACCTCTTCCCCTGCCCCAGACTTACTGGCCTGACGCTGCTCTCCAAGCTGCAGAGCTGCACTCTTGCCTGCATGCATGATGCGGGTGCACGTATGCACACAGCATCTATCGGCAACATCAGCCAAAAAAATCCAGTTGTCGATAATGTCAATTTTCCTATTATTGGTGCCAATATGATATGGATCGATGTATCAGTGCACCTCTGTTGGTCAGTCCCAGCTAAGGGGCCAGCAGAACACAGTGCATAGACCCTACTCTCACTTTCCCTGACTCTGACAATCCCTGCCTACTTTCAGTTGAAAGAAAAAAAAAAAAAGCCTGCACAGCTCTCTGGGCAGCTCTAGGGACCCCTGACAGCCCAGCATCCGCACTGGGGGCTCCTTGCTTCTCCGTTTGAACTTCTGTACAGGTCAGTTTCTCTCTCAGGATGGTTTGAATGTGGATGATTTGAATGTGTGCACAAGCCTAAGTAATCCTGGTTCTTCCAACCTTTCCTAAATCCTGGTTCCTAGATTGCTTTATGGCTCCGATAGGCCTAAAGCAGGCAGGAGCTGCGCCTCATGCTGTGTAGCTCTTCCCAGTCCGCCACACACTAACGTTTCTTCAAGACACAGGCACATGGGTGGAAAAGTCCTGAGTGCTTCTTTAGGGGAGGAGCTTGGGGCAAGGGAGGGGGCACCAGGAAGGGCTGCAGCACTTGCCAGCTCAAAGCCCTAATGCAGGAAGCATGCATGCAGGGCAATTTTATCTGGCTGTTGCCACATGGCAGCAGGTGCCTGCACTGCGGCACCCTGAGAACCACTGCAATAGAACGTGAAGCCCTGGCCTCAATGAAGTCAACGGAAGCTTCTCCACTGACTTCAAAGCCAAAGTTTTACCCAAGGTCTCTTTCCTCTCTACGAACAGAAAATAAGACAGAGCAGTCAGACTAGCATAGTTAAGAATGCCTTCATGATTATGGAAAAGATGCATCCGTTACTATCTACTAATCTGGTGTGGACCAACACTACTGTATTTACTTGATTCTAAAATGAAGCCCTCCCCATTTAACATGAAGGAAAAAGCCCCTTGTCTTAGAATCGAGTGCAAGGGTGGTAGAGGGCAAATGGCTGCTGTGGCTTGGGCTTCAGCCCTCACTTGGAGTCAAGGTCATAGCAGCAGCTTCTGCCTGTCCCCCCCTGCCACCTCCCCACTACAGCCTCTTCCCCCATCTCCCACCCCCCAAACAAAGCCTCTGTTCCTCCACCGTCCCTTCCCCACTTACCATCGATATGCTCCACCAGGTTCTGTTCCTGTTCTTGCCTGGGGCACTGAACATGGCTCCAAACCAGCCCCACAGCAATGGCATGCAGCCCACACAGCTGCTACAGAGGCCATGTTCAGTGCCCCAGGCTAGAATAGCAGAGACTTGGGGATAGGGGGGCTGGAAGTGGGGAGGGAGCAGAGGTAGCAGGCACAAGCAGGGGGTAAGCTGCTTGACCTCCCCACACCACCTGCTTCCACACTGCCTGCCCCCCTGCAATGGTAGAGGGATGAATTAAAGATAACCCCCAAATAATTCGATTTTATACATGGAAAACTATAACAAATGTACAAATGTTCCATGTATAGAATTTAATCTTAAACTAAGGGTCATCAAAGATCCAAGTAAATACAGTAGTAAGGCAACAATCAACATTCATACATTAGCAGGAAGTAGTATTTACTTCAGAAGAGATACCCAAACAGCTTAATTAAGAAGCCCCATCATTGTAAGAATAGAAGGGCCCTTTTTTTATTTTTTTCTGGTTGTTATACCCATCTTTTTCCTAAGGTTGGTAGGATCAAAATGCAATTGCTACTTATGTATCTCCCTCTCAGAATTCTCCATTTATGAAGTGCTTTGAGCTTTCCAGAATAAAGGCACTATATGCATGCAGAGTTGTACTTTAATGAGTAGATAAACAATCTATGTTTAAGCTGGAATTTTCATTGGTGAAAACAAACCGGAACAAGAAAGACCGATAAATAAAGGCACCTTTGATCCGCAGAACAACATTACTAAGGAAGGAAAATGCAAACTACTCCAAAGGGTGAAGGAGAATCAGAGCTCAGAATCAGATGCCAACTGCTGGATCTACAAGATAGAGTGAGCTTACCTTTAGCCCTGGTGCCACATGGGGTGGCGTGTCCACAATTTGCCTCTCATCAGAAGAGCTTCCTCGCTTCAGGTCTATCACTGGAGCAAGCACCGTTGTTTGTTTTGTTCTCTGACTCTAGAAGCACAGAAATACAGAATATCTGAGGAAGGCAATATGCTCTTTTTTCTAAATGGTGATTTGCTCAATCTCTCTGAATAAAGCGTGTTCTAATTTTAAGAAAATCTGGAAGTGGATGAAATCCATCTCAGGTCCCAATCTTTGCCCACAGACCTCCCATACCACTTGTCTTGTTTTACTAGCAGGTCTTCCTCAATATTTCTAGTAGAGCTGGATCTATGCAGTTGCATATTTTAATATCATATTTGTGCACCTGTGGCACAGTGTTCAAGATAGTACTATGTCTATACTCAGTAAACTCTAGGCCCAGACCTAAGTAAAAAATATAGATTCCTTGTACTATTCATTCTTCCAGGGCTTACTGCTACCCCCACTGAAATCAAGAAGGGTTTCTGGCACTGATTTTTATGGGAGCAGGATCCTACAGAGACCGAAAGCACCAAGCTGCGACTGGACCACATGAAACAACACTGAGCAAAGAATTAGAGTGATAAAGGCCTAGTGTAACAAACATAGAGGAAAAGACAGCCTGGTATAAACTTGCTCTTTAGCTTCTCCTCAAATGATTAGTTTATATCTCCTCTGCCTCCATTTGAGCCTGCTGGAAATATTTTCTGTATCAATTTCTAATTTGACCAGTACTGCCAGGAATCACTGCGGTGTAAGGAAGACTTTAGAACATAAAGCAAGAAATGATGCAAGCAGGTCAATACCAAAAATTATAAAAGACAGCCACCATCTTCCCTATTAACTCCACTATAAGAAGTGCTTAACTATTCTACCCTCAACATCAATTTTGGGTTCCAAGCCAGGACTGAAATCTGCTGTTTAAGGAATCCACAGTTATACTATACACATTACTTCTACTTTGTGTTTAGAAAGAATCTCCCTGCCAGAGGCTATGTGCAACACACACTTCATTGTGTTCCCTTTTACCAGAAATGCTCAATACCAACAAACATACAAATCCTGACAATGTGGGCAAACACCTATGCAGTAAAGGCAATCAACTGCATTGGTGTACACTGTACAAGCAAAATTCTGCTTAGAGTGGGCAATATTTTAGGGAGGGGGAAACCCCCCCCCAAACCAACTAAACTAAAAAGTATTCATAATAAGTCATCAAGAGCAGCGGTACCTGTACCTTTGCTTGCGTAAGAGCTGCTTTCTTCACTTGCAGCTGGGACTGTAGCAGTTTGAAATTTTTGGACCAGCCTTCTGTTTTTGAGTCGCTGGTCTCGACTCCCAGGTCGTCATAAAGTGACATTTTCTTTTCAATTTAAAGCTAAAAATTAAAAAGATCAGATTTAATTTAATTCCTGTAATGTACGATCAATGTTCATTAGCTAAACCGATTTATTGTTGTCTGGATACATATTTATGTTACCTCTTCTTGCTTTTTAAAAGAAATCAATACTAATTTTCAAAACCTAAAGAAAAGTAGTCCTTCCTAGAACTAGGACAAATGCCGGAAAAATATCACACTTCAGGCTCAAAAAACCCCTTTTTTATTCTGGACAATAGCAGTTGGACAGAGGAGAGTATAAATCTAAATAATAAAACCAGCAACAACAGAAACAATATAGATCTCTCATACCATATATAATTACTGTTTTTTAATAATTACAATTATTATTATTAAAATTTAGATTTATATCCCACTATCAAGAAAGGCTCAGAGCAGCATACAATAAATGACAACAGCAATATATGTACTATTTTTTCCCTTTTTCCCTAGTGCCAGAAGGCACCAAAATAGTCATCTAGTCTGACCTATGTGACACAGCCCTCACCAAGTAGTCTCCATGACTCCCATGATTTTGGTTAATTTTATTTATCATACATACATACACATACATCTATAAAGGCAGACAGATCGATAGATCAATTGATCTATGGATAGATAAATATAGATATATAAAGATATATACAGATCCGCATCATGATAATTTGGAAGAGGTTTTTATAGTCGGATGACCTTCCTGATGCTAACTCTCCTCCTTTATCTGAGTTTGGGACCAGCAATGGATGGGCAGAATTGCTCATCCATGGCAGAGTTGACATTTCAAGTGATAATTGCAATGGAGAAGATGCTAAATGAATGGAGAGGGAGTGTGTTGGTGCCAATACTCAAGCAGAAAGGTGACATCCAGGACTGTGGCAAATACTGGGGAGTCAAACTGATGGCTCACACTTTAAAAGCATGGGGAAGAGTGGTGAAGAATCGGGTAAGGACTAAGGTGGTCACTGGGGAAGGCTAATATGGATTCATGCCAGGGAAAAGTACCAGGGATCCAGTTTTTGCAATAAGACAAATGATGGAGAAATACATGTAAAGTTGTAAAGATATCCGTTTTGTTTTCATTGACCTAGAGAAAGCCTATGTTCACATATCCAGGGAGGAAATAGAAGTGTCTGAAAGTTAAGGATATGCTGCAGAAATATGTCAGAACCACTGAGGACATATATTGCAAATGTACAACGAAAGCGAGGAGCAGTTTGAGAGAGACAGAGTTTTGAGGTGAAGATGGGCATTCATCAAGGGTCAGCTTTGAGCCCGTTCCTATTTGCGGTCACGATGGATGTGTTTACTGAACAAATAAGAAGGAGACCACCGTGGAACATGTTTGTGGACAACATGGTCATTTGCGCCAAGAGTTTAGAGGAAGTGCAAGCTGGTTTGGACCAATGGAAGTGCTAGAGGGAAGAGGAATGAAGATGAGTCGATCCAAAACGGAATACATTTACTGTGATTTCTCTGAGATACCTGATGTTGGAAATGTGATAATCAATGACAAACATGTTTGAAAAGTTAACAAGTTCAAGTATGTGAGGTCAACCGGTCAGCAGGGTTAGATGAAGAGTTGAACCACTGAGTAACAGCAGGGTGGACAAACCGGAAATCGGTGACAAGACTATTATGTGACAGGAGATTATCAGTGGAGCTGAAGAGGAAAGTCTACAAGACGTCCATGTGCCCAGTACTATTGTACGGAGTGAAGACAGCCCATGAAGAAAACACGAGAAAGACGACTAAATGTGACAGAGGTGAGACTGCGCAGACGGATGGGTGGAGTGACGAAGATGGATAAAGTGAAGAATTCTTACATTAGAGGATTGGTGAAGGTAGCGGAGGCATCTAAGAAAGTACAAGAGAGAAGACTGGCATGGTACGGGTATGTTCAAAGGAGTCCAGAAGAATACATAGGAATAAAGTTATCAGAATGGCGCTACCAGGGAGAAGGGGAAAAGGAAGGCCAAAGATGAGATAGAGAGAGATAGTGCAGAGGAACATGAGAGGAGTTGGAAGAAGAAAATACGTATGACCGAAGTCAGTGGAGAGCCAGGATCTGCAAAAGCAACCTGTTTAGACAGGACAAGCAAGGGAAGATAGATATAGACAAATATATATACAACTATTTTAAAGCTGGCTCCTCCTATTACTAATCAGAACTTCCTACATCTCCCAGCCTGGTGGACAAGCTTATATTCCACCCTGATCCCACAATCCTCCAGGGGACCTCAGCTACTGGCTCCTCCATGGAGCGATTGCTATGGGCATGTATCTGGTGCAGTTTATGGATGCCCCCAGCTCCTGCCCCTTCTGCGATCAGAGGGAGACCCTGGCTCGTGCCTGCCTGAAGAGTGCCAGGCTGCAGCCCCCTCTAGGACTTCCTGCTGCGGCTCTGGCTGCACTACTCCTGCATCGTTTCACTTATGCTCTCCCTATCCACAGCCCCGTTAAGTCCCGGGACCTCCTGGTCAACCTCCCCCTGCCCTTAGCCAAATTAGCAATCTATCTGATCAGGAAGGAGGCTCTGGGTGGGAGAACCCCCCAGGGATCATGCAGCCAGTTTCCTGTCCCTCGTCCATTCGCATCTCCGGGCAGAGTTTCACTGGTCCACTCACCACTGGCTCCTTGGACTCATTCGAGACACTGTCCCATGTCCCCCTCAGTGCACTCATTTTTAACCTACAACCTTCACTCCCATCCCTGCTTTGCTTTTTGTCCCATGTCAACAACTGACACGTATCCAATAGCCCCCTCTATTAGCAAGGGGCACTAACTGTTGCTTTGTGGGCCTAAGGCCCATGTCCACAAAACATGTCAAATAGGCCTGTCCAGGAAGAAGGCTCCGGCTGGGGGTCTCAACAGGGACTCTGGGGCCATTCTCCTATCCCTTATCTAATCACGTCTGCGGGCATTTTCACCAGATGGCATCTACTGACTCCTTACATGTGTTCGAGGGCCAGTGGGCGCTGGCTGATGAGCTCTGCTCGGGGTCCCCCATCCTTGGTGCTATTGTTATCCAACTCTGACCCCCACTCCTGTCCCCGCTCTCATTATAAGTTGTCCCAAGGAATCAGTGGATGCATACCGAGCGGCCGCCGGCCCTAGAACGAGTCCAAGGGACTAGCGGATGCTGCCCGATGAAACTCTGCCTGCAGACGCGAGTTGAACCAGGAACAGGAAAGGAGCCCGGCAGTCCCCGATGGCTTCCCTGGCTGGAGCCTCCTACCTGGTCAGACAGACGTCCCGCTTGGCTAGGGCCAGGAGGAGGCTGACCAGGAGGTCCTGCGGCTCGGCGGGGCTGCAGATGAGGAGCGCATAACTGAAAAGGTGTGGGCCCTGTTTCTTCTGGGCATCCCTGCAGAGGGACCCAGCACAGCCGCATGCGACCGGTCC